CCACATTCGGCCAAATCTTGTACAAATGTTATTTTCTGTTTTATGGTACGATGTGGTCTGCTTGATTGGTATATAAACAGAGTATGTTTGTTCATGTATGTTCATATTGCAGAGGCTGAGATTGGCATTCTGGACTAAACTGGCTGGGCTAGGCGGAAAGCAGGACCAATCAAATCTCTAGGCTTCTCATACGGGTCTGCGCGTCATTGATTCGATCGATAAGTCACTGCTCTCTAATCGGAGGTCACAAGTTATGTCTTTGGACATAAGTACTATGTAACGTCAATGAAGAGAGGAATGCATGGTAAATGGCTATGAAGCTCGAATTAAAAAAAACAGAACTAGAAATAGAAAGGAATTGTGACTTTGAACAATCATACAGTGTAGTAAAGAACAAATGATAGAATTTTGCAAATGAAGCATTCTAATGTATGGCATTCATATTTTGACGAACATATTGTATAATTTTTTGTCGAAATACATTTACAGATTGAAATCATGAGTCAGCTGAAGCTAGACCATCATTGAAAACGTGGAAGCACTGGACGGCCGTTTCGTCCTAGTATGGGACTCCTCAGCAGTGCGTATCCACGATCCCGCACCCACCGGGTTCAAACCCAGGACCTACTGGCTTCGCGCGTGAGCACTTAACCATTAGACCACTTAGCCGGGATCGTGGATACGCACTGCTAAGGAGTCCCATACTAGGACGAAACGGCCGTCCAGTGCTTCCAGGTTTTCAATGGTGGTCTAGCTTCAACTGACTCATGATTTCAATCTGTAAAAACTCCTTAAATCTCTACAAACCCCTTCTGAGAAATACATTTAGTGATTTCCACATGTATTCTCATTCATAACAAAATTACTAAGTAATTGGTTTATTAAGTTAACAGTTTTAAACAAGATATAAGCTAAAAAACCATGGTAATTATTCATGTAACTAATCAAATAAGTATTATATACAAAGAGGTAATAGTTCAATTACTGTCTATTCATTATTTTACTAATGAATAAGAATAAATTTACAATCATAACCAACTATCTAGAATAACTGATTAAGATATTCAAGACAGGTATACATCAAGAAATTTGTATTCTGTATTGTTAAGTACTTTGATAAGTTATATCAACTTTTCCTATAAAATTTGTAAATAGTTTAAGAATATTATACTATTCAGAAATTCTGAAAGTACCAAATGGTCATCTTGATTTATATGATACTTTTCAGCATTGTATTCCTTCAATACTTTTAGATTTTCAATGATGGTCTAATATGGATTAGTTAATGATCTCAATTAAAATTCTACAATCTTCACAATTCTATATTGTTTATAATAATTCATTAATGTTTAAAAAAAATATATGTAACAATCAGAATAAGGATTTATAGGAGATTTTAGTAAATTTCATGTCCCATTTGCAAGATCGTGAATGTGCAACTGTTCAGGAGTTTTATACTAGGATGAAACAACTGTTCCAAGCTTTCAATGATTGGTCTAGCTTAGATCAATTCATGAATTTAACCATTAAAAATATATAATTATTGTTTTGTGTTATTATTATTAATATTATTGTCCTGGTAACATTACTCCCCCCCCTTTAATTTATTACGTCATTTTATAATTACATCATTAATCTATTTTCAGTTATTTCATTACATAATAATCTAATGTGTTTTAATTCCATGATTTCTAATCACTATTTCAATGTTCTGGAACCTTCCCTCTCAAACTCTATATATTCGAAACCAATAATTTTATGACCTCATTAACTCTAACGAAATCTTGGCTACATCATGATACACATATATTCATCCTTCATCACCCTCTGATGTATAAGTATTGTCAACATCTATAATAACGTTGAATTTCAAATAATTTAGGTTGTAAGCAGCTGATGAGAACCTAACGAAATCAAATGAATTCATTTACTGTTCTGCACCAATCATTGTTCTTGTTCTCTTTAAAAAAACCTGAAAACACTGAACGTCCGTTTCGTCCTAGTATCGAACTCCTGAGCAGTTCACATTCACGATCTTGCAAGTAGAATACAAAAATTTACTAAAATCTTCATAAATCCTCATTCTGATTATTTTGATATTGTTATTTAAGGCTGTAATTGATCAATCTCATGTTGGCATATGTGAAGCCTGTCCGGATTGCATCGATATAGACTTAAATTACAAGCTTATTAAGAAATGATGGATAATGGCTATCAGTGGAATCCAATTTAATGCACGTTTTGTCCTATTTTGGAATCGTCAGTTGGATGTACTTGTATCTCAAAGTTGATATTTACTCTGGGACTCGAACCGAATACCGTTCGCTTTAAACACCATCGCGTTATCCACTTAGCTATCGAGTCATAAATAAAAATGTGAAGATACAAGTAAAGTAACATCAAGTGAATTTAAACTTCACCTCATTGCATAAACAAGTGACTATCAGAACTCAGTAGTTAAGACGATAACGCGATGGCATTTGAAGCGAACGGTGCTAGGTTCGAGTTCCAGAATGAACATTCACTCTGAGATGTAGGTGAATCCACTTAACGAGTCTACTGCTAGTCACTACTCATTTTGGCCTAAACAGATTACTAGTGTAGATTATTTTTTTTTCTTTCTTCAACTTTTTTTGATCTTGATAATTGAATTCAGTAGAATAATTAAGAATAGAAGTGATGTTTTCTTTTTTTTTTTTCAAAAAAAAAATTGTCAAACAAAAAAGGAATCTAATTAATAAGTTATGATCAGCTGATAATTAAATAAGTTACCAAGTAAACAAACATTCCACACTTATTAATTAGTTACCATATTTATTTTTCCATAAGTTAATAACACTGTAAATTATGATCATTAACAGTATAAATGATTACTAATGAATCGATTTTATGACATTCATCTACGTTGTATATTAGTGTTTAACATTGTTTTTACATTATCACTTCATCAAAAGTGATTGATAGAGAATTATAGATTGAAGTTGTGTGTGGTGGGGGGCGCCGTTAAATTATCAAAATGATGTATTCATTTAATTGATTTAAGTAACTATTTTGTTTGCTCATAAAGAAAATTTCACTTCTTTCTATGTATTGGTTTATCAGTAATGATGAAAGAAATTCACTTAATAATATCATTGATATCATGAACTAATCACTGTTACAATATAGAAGCATTGAGTAGCCGTTTTGTTCTAGGACTGGACCCATCAATAGCGTTCATTCACGGTCCCTTACTAAGAGCAATCGAATTCAACACCTTTTGATTTGGTGTGTAAACACTTAACCACTACTACACTACTATATCGTCATTTAATATTATTGATATGTTAATTCAATCAGTTCACGACATTGTATTTCCAGTTTGTATTGTAACTAAATGTACCACATTCAGTAGTGACTAGCTCGATTAGTTACAGCTTTTCATGAAAACTTCAAAGATTTCTTATCAGAACGAAGTATTATTGATAATGTCATGAAAGAGTTATGACTATTGAATTTTATTACAATGATGAATTGATTAAGCATACAGAATCATTAATTCGCATTTCTAAGGAATCTCATAATAGTATGAAACAATCATTCCGTGCTTGGAGTATTTCATTAGTGATCTAATTTATAATAATTCGTTAATCAAAACAATTCTTAATTTGGAAATATATTATTCAGAATTAGAACATAGTTTCAATGATATCCAATTATCAAATACTCACAATGATAAAAGAATTTTCAATGCTCTATATTAAGTTAACTTCTAACTAGATATAAATAAGGTTTAACACATTAGAAGGTGAATGTTACCCATTTATTATTATCAGTTTAGGGATTGTGAAGATATTTAAGTTTTTGATCGAGATCATGAACCGATTGATGTTAGACCATCACAATTGAAAACCTGGAAGCACTGGGCGGCCGTTTCGTCCTATTGTAGGACTCCTCAGCAGTGCACATCCACGATCCCGCTCGCCGAATTCGAACCCAGGGCCTTCAGTCTCGCGCGCGAACGCTTAACCTACTGGACCACTGAGCCAACCGGAATCCAATAGTGACAGTGTCTAACATCAACCAATTCACGAAGTTGCGCGACCATCTTCCATTGTACAGAGGTAGACACTTGTTTCTACCCGACACGGATTAGCTCCACTTGTCACGGCTTCTCACTAGAACTCCAAGAATTTTTTCACGAAGCTAGTCACTAGTGAGCATATGGTAATTATCAGTTTAGAGGTTGTGAAGATTGTTAAGTTTTTGATTGAGATCATGAACCGATTGATATTAGACCACCATTGAAAACCTAATATCAATCGGTTCATGATCTCGATCATTTATTATTGTCAATTTTAGTAATTTCATAAAACAATTCACGTAATTATAATCATTTTGATTTATAATTCAGTGATAATGATATAATTCATTAATTTTGGTTGAGATCATGAATTAATTGATGTTGGACCACCGTCAGAAACCTGGGTTGGTTGATGTTAGACACTAACACCACTGGATGCCAGCTCAGTGGCCTAATGGTTAGGTGCTCGGGCGCGAAGCCAGCAGGTCCTGGGTTCGAATCCCGCGGGGTGCGGGATCGTGGGTGCGCACTGCTGAGGAGTCCCATACTAGGACTAAACGGCTGTCCAGTGCTTCCAGGTTTTCGACGGTGGTCTAACATCAATTAATTCATGATCTCAACCAAAAACTTAACAATCTCCACAACCCCATACTGATAATTCATTAATTGTTTTTATCAATAATTAATTAGTTCATGCTTATACATTTTATGCTTTAACTTGAAATTCTGTAGGGAAATAGGAAAAAGAAAAAAGAAGACCAAAGAACACATTCCATTGAGCGTTGAAAGTAGACATTAAAAAGACGAATAACAATTGGAAAAGATTCTCGAAGACAAATGTTGTTAGACGGTCTATATTCGTTCACGATGGGTAACAGACGTAAGTAAGTAAGTGTAAATTATATACATATATATATAAACATTATTTCTGATTCATCTAAGTAGATATAGTTTTAGCAACATTTGAAAACTTACCACCTGCAGGAGGTACAAGTTGATCTAATAATTTATTACTTGTTCTTTTCCATATTTTTTTAATTACAGCACGAAGTTCTTCATTTAATTGATCAATTGCTGCACCTATATCATATAATAATAGTTATTATTATTATCATTATTATTATTATTTATATGAATATTCGTCAAGATTAGACCGAAACGTTTGACAGAAATCGAGCGCCGAGTAAAGAGAAGTCATTATATGTGAAAATTATATTTGAAATAATTTCAGCAATTGAAATGTAAATAATTTCAACGTTTCGTCCAGCTAACTTGTCCGGACTTCTTCTTTGGATTATTACTCTGAAGAAGTCCGGACAAGTTAGCTGGACGAAACGTTGGAATAATTTACATTTCAATTGCTGAGATTATTTCAAATATAATTTTCACATATATTATTATTAATATTATTATGGATGTTATTCAATAACAATGAAATATGAAGAGTATGAACAATTTGGTTGACTATAATATATAATTTTGAAATCACTTAGATGGATTAAACGATAGTTATATTTAAAAAAAGTCAATCCTTCAAATCTCAGATGAAACAAATTTCGAGAAATATAATCATGAGTATAACCAGTTGAATATGTTGATCATTTCGTTTTTCATAAGCAACTTAGAACTTAACATTTGTGTGTCGGTTCATGTGGTCACACCATATGAGCATAGAGAGATGAAATTGTCTAGATACACGTCAGAATGATTAAAGTTGGGGCAGTATCAGAGACAATAAAATGCCCTAAGCATACTTACTTACTAACGCCTGTTACTACTCGTGGAGGAGCATAGGCCGCTCACCAGCATTCTCCATTCAACCCTGTCCTGAGCAATCCTTTCCAGATATTTTTTAGTTGTTATTCATCTTTTTCACATCTGATTCTATTTTTTGACATAATGTGTTTTTTGGCCTTCCACTTTTCCGCTTCCCTTGAGGATTCCAAGTTAGGGCTTGTCTCGTGATGCAGTTTGATGATTTCCACAATGTATGTCCTATCCATTTCCATCGTCTTTTCCTAATTTCTTCTTCAGCTGGAAGCTGATGGTATCCGGCCAATGGATGTTGAGTATCTTGTGTAGACAGCTATTTGTAAATACTTGCACCTTCTTGATGATGGTTGTTATAGTTCTCCAAGTTTCAGCTCCTTACAGTAGAACTGTCTTGACGTTTGTGTTGAAGATTGTGAAGTTGATGTTGGTTGGCAGCTGTTTGGATTTCCATATGTTCGTCAATTGTAGGAATACGACCCTTGCTTTACCAATCCTCGCCTTTACGTCTGCATCTGATCCTCCTAGTTAATCATTGATGCTTCCAATGTACGCGTAGGATTCTACATCTTGCAGAGTTTCGCCATCAATTGTGATTGAGTTGGTGTTTTTCGTGTTGTGTTTGAGGATCTTGGTTTTCCCCTTGTGTATGTTGAGGCCTATTGATGCAGAAACTGCTGCTACACTGGCTGTCTTTATCTGCATTTGTTCATGTGTATGCGATAGAAGGGCCAGGTCATCTGCGAAGTCCAAATCGTCTAATTGGTTCTGAGCTGTCCATTGTATTCCGTGTTTTCCTTCAGATATCGAGGTTTTCATAATCCAGTCGATCACCAGAAGAAAGAGGAAGGGGAGAGTAGATAGCATTGTCTAACTTCCTAAAATAAAACACTAACCCTAAGCATAGACGATATAATTTGCGGAATAAAAATAGATTTGTACGGTAAAAGGTATAGAATCATTTTGAAACTCGCAATCTAACGGATACTAATGCGCGGATGTATTTGTGTTATTGAAAGTGATTCTGAACCATATTACACGTGTTTAACCAATAGTTATGGAAATAGTGCAAAACATGGATTGGTACTATGTCTTAGCTTGGTCATCCCATGTCGAATGTATATATTTGTATTAGGGAATTAAAGTAATTTGAGTTGATATATGTATAACAAATGATTGTTCATACACAAAATTGAAGATCAATAAGGAATCAGTAGTAATATTTCAGTCCTATCCATCATAATACAGAGGACATCATTAAACTATTGAAATTCTGAATAGCTATTTCTCATGCTAATTTCTTTATGAATTACCGAATTTAAAATACAAAAATAATTGAAAAAAAGCTGAGATTCATAGTGATGACCCAATATTCTGTACACTTTGGTTATGGACGAGATGATTACTACGAATTATGTGAACTTAGTTAAATCTATTGAGGAAAGCACCCAACTGAGTCACAAGACAAGCCATCACATGGAATCCTCAGGGCGAAAGGAAAAGAGGAAGACCAAAGAACACATTACATTGAGAAATGGAGACAGACATGGGAAAAATGAACAAAAATTGGACAGAACTGGAAAGGAAGACCCAGGACAGAATGAATTGGAGAATGCTGGTCGGCGACCTATGCTCCATTAGGAGTAACAGGCGTAAGTCAGTAAGTATGTTAAATCTAACGATATATGTTAATGACGTCTCAAATGCATATAACCCACGGGTGTGGCCAACAGTCAAAATTAACAGCTTATAGTAACCCGTATGCATGTTGAAAACAGAAATTATACTCAACTTCTGGCAGCTTTCTATTATTATGAATTTTAATATTATGGATGTTATTCAGTAGAATAATAGTTTGTAAACAAGAAATTTCTAAATTGATGTTTAAATTTTCCTAAGAAATCATTCATCAGCACTACATTAGAATGTTTTGTTAAGGGGGCACTCTCCGAGCTTTGAAATATAAAGATCTAATCTACAAGACGTTAGGAGATGCCGTACCATGGTAAGTGATGACAAAAAAATAGGTTCGTACGACATTTCATCCCCCCAGAAAATCCGTGAACCTATGTGCACTATCGATTTGAAATTAGGGTTTTCCAACTCCTCTAAGTAAATACTCCATATCGACCGACTCAGTATGAGCACTTAACATTCGGTTATCTTATTTTCAATTTCTATAAACAACAGTTTTGCCGTGAGAAGGCAGTGAGTAGGACTTCCCTGAAAGTGATTGTATATGCGTGTCCATGTGAGAGCATTACGAGAGAGAGCTAACTCTTTTCACCCTAAACCGTACCGTAGTTTTCTCTTTGTTTGTTTTTTTTTAAAATTTAATTTGACATAAATGTGAAGTTATGTATGAATAAAATGTGAGAAAAATAATCTATTCAATACAACTAATTCATAATAGCTTACCTTCAGTTTTTATTTTTAAATTAGTTCGAACTAAAGCAAAAAGTGTTGCATTGAACATGACAGTTCCATCACTATTCAACGGCATATTCATACGTACTAAAGTCTGAAACAAAAATATTCAAATATTGATGTAAAGAGTTGAGATAAGTCTATTGATAGATATTAATAATGATATACATAGAAATATCATCAGAAAGGGGTTTCGATAGATATTATAGTATTTTAATAGATGAACTCGTAAGTCAATTGAAGCTAGTCCACCATAAAAAACCTGGAAGCACCGGATAGACTTTTCGTCCTGACGTGAAACTCCTCCTCAGAAGTGTGCATCCACGATACCGCTCACGGGATTCGATCCTAGGGCTTATCGGTCTTGTGCGCGAAAGCTTAACCTTTAGATTACTGAGGTGGCCGGCATTCAACGGTATTAATGTTTAACTTCAATTAATCCACGAAATTGAGTGACACATCCACCATTATGTTCAGTGAGTCACTATCTCACAACAGACTCGGTTGAACTCCATTTGTCACTGCTTCTCACTAGAACTCCAAGAAATACCACCTAGAGCCAGTCACTAGTGAGCATAGGATGATTATCATCAGCAAGTGTTTTTTTCTGGGTATTGTAGTCTTTAAATAGTTGAGTTTGTGAGTCAATTGAAGCTTCAGTGAGTTACTATCTAACAATAGACCCGGTTGAACTCCACTAGTCTCTGCTTCATAATGAAAGATTACAAGTAGATTTTAAATTTCTTGTCAGTTAATGAATTCTTTATCAACGATCAAAATGTAAACAAAAAAAGATAATAAGGTTAGAGATATGGAAACTAGGATAGATAAACTGATATTGAAGTAGTATTTATTTTAATATCTGAAGGGTTTTGTGGATATTATAGTAATTTCAATGGTTAAGATCATGAGTCAGTTGAACCTAGATCACCCAGTTGGTTCTGAGGTCGAATCACACAGGGGGCGAGGTCGTGGATGCGCACTGCTGAGGAATCCCACAATAGGACGAAACGGCCATCCACTGCTTCCAGGTTTTCCATGGTGGTATAGCTTTAATTGACTCATGATCTTAACCATTAAAGTTAATATTTATTTCATAGTTGTATATGATGTGAAAACACCACTAATAGACACTTTAAATGCTTTTTTTTAATAGGTATAGTTTACTGTCTTAAATCAATGGATCTTATTAAAAACAATTCAATTCAAATTAACTGATATTCATTTGATCCCTAAAATATTTCCATTCGAAGGTGATTATGCATGTAATTTCATTAAAATCACTAATTAATCAAAGTTAAATACAACCACTGAAATCCTGGAACCATTGGACGTCTATTTTGTCTGAATATGATTGTATGAATCAATTTTATAGGTTGAAAGTAGTATATTCCATATACATTAGATTTTAAAATAATGACAATATGTATCATTGGTAAAATATAAAAATCTATACAAGAAAGGGATAAGAGAAAATTTCTTTATCTTGTATATATAAGTCTCTTTTGATTAAGTTGATGCTCATTGTTTTTGGTAAATATAGAGAATGGATAATCCTATGCCTTTGGATAAATTGCTGTAGACTTAATAAACATCTGAGAAACCAACATCTTAATACTACATCCATTGTCACTTAGGTGGTAAGGAATGATTGTTTATTGACTTAGTGACAATTCTTGTTAAATAAAGCAGTTCATGTATGTTGAAACCCATGAAGTAAAAACCTGGAAGATACATGACTATACTGAATAATGTTTGATATTCCACATAACAGTAACAAGGATCATATACAGAGCATACGGATTAAGTTAAAGTCGGATGAGAATTCAAAAGCCATCAAAGTAGATAAAAGATCAGATATTCCAATTCTGACAAAGAATGATTACATAGATAAAATGAATTGTATACTGGTGGATCAGACTGAATTCCTAAAACTTGCATTATGTAAGATTGGTTCTTATCTAACTATAACACATTAAAACCTCTGAAATAATCACAGATTTCTGATTCTGTTACGTACTTAAATATTACAAAACACCTACTTGACGACTTTATGGCCTACTGAAGGTTCAAAATCTTTGGATACATGATTCTGGAAATGTCAAACTCAATGTGCTAATCGATAACGAAATATTTGGTGAAACTATTGAAAATATTACAATGGAAATGGATTAAACGCTATGCTAAAGGTGTGTAGAAACGTGTGAATGTAACGAAAAAAAATGTTTTATGTCTGAATGTGACAACATAGATGACATCACATGGGTTCAGAAATATTTACCATTTGTGCATCAAGGAATGTACGATATATTATGCTGGTTATATTTCGTAATCTGAAATATTTTGTTGCGTACATTTCGTGAATATTCCTCTTGTTTACTCTTATTTAAATGATGTTCTCAATTTGAATTTGTTCGTTTGATAAGTCATCAGTATAAAATTAAAATTCCTTTAATAGAACAGTGCATTTGACGCCGTAGACCGCAAGATTCTGTGGCAGTGTCTGCCATTGAAAAACATACCTCAGAAGTACATAAATCTTGTAAAGGCTCTTTACTCGAACACTACTAATCGAGTGAGAGCTTATGGCGAACTGTCATCTGATTTTGCAATGTCAAGTGGTGTCCGTCAAGGCTGTCCACATTCTCCATTTTTCTTCAACTTCATCATAGATCTACTGATGGAAATAACATTCTCGTCGACTGAATCCTCGGGTATTGATCTCATTCCAGGAGGTCTACTTATCGACTTAGAATACGCAGATGACATAGTCTTGTTTGGTGAAGACGCTGATAAAATACAGAGTGTTTTGGTAGCACTAAGCAACGATGCCAGAATGTTTGGAATGCGCTTATATATGTCAACATCAGTAGCATACACTACATTATGATTTACATCTGTTCAATATTCAATACAGTCTTCAGGTATGATAAAAATTATCAACGAATAATATAGTCAATGAAAATAAAGTTATTATCTATGAAATGTTGATCACTGTCGAAATGAATGTAATTCCGATGATTAACTGAATCACTTCCTTCAAGTTGTATCAAACATATAGTGGTCAAAGACATTTTATATGAAGTTTTATGAAGCTTTTTCTCAGTTTAATTTGTGTACACCAAGAAATGATCATTTGTATGGTTGATTGGAGAAAATTGATGTTTGTACTAGAACATATGATTGAATAGATTGATTGTTACACGAGGATACAAAATCTATGATATCTTTTAATAATGCTTGGATTCATAAATGATTATATAGACTTCCAGAAATAAAGTGATTACTTCATGTAATCAAATGAAGTATCATATAGTTCTGTTATGTTTTGAATGTATAGGTCTTAGTTTTGGCGGTTAGGTTAAAACTATCAAAGTATGAAGGTCATGTGATTACAAGGTGTACAGTGCCAGCTTAATTACTGTAATACATAATCAATATTATTGATATAGATGTACTTCTTAATGCTTTCTTATTAAATCATTCCATATTACATAATGAAGTCGCTTTGTTATTTTTTGTTCACAGTTGTGTTAATGTGACTTCCTATAAGATTGTATATGTTTATTTGGATAATCAATCAATGAGTCTATTACTTAAAACATAATTATGAAATATAGTTTGACCTTATTAATTAATGTAAAATTGTTACTATCAAAGTTTAATTAGTATAGAAAGCTAAATGTTGAATTAGATCAATGATGAATAATCCAAGAACTTGAATAGTTAGACAAACAAACAAAAAAAAATAGAACTTAATTAAGTCAGCAATTCATATTAATCTTATAAATTATTTAAAGAAATACCTTTTTCCTTTGTAGAGATATCATTAACTCTTCTGATGAATATCATTTATTTGAACATAGAAATATTGGTACAAGAGGGCACCAAATATGTATGCGCCACATATTTTCATTATCATTATATTTGTGTGTGGGTTGTGATACTGCCCGAGTGCCCAAACCGAACCAAGTGGTTTTCTTAGGGGGCCACACAAGGAGCCTTTGACCTAAAGGTCTAACCCACAAGGCAGTGGAGCATCGTAAGGAGATGCAGTCCCATGGTAGCCGATGACCAAGAAACTGGTTCATACGCCATTTGTTCCCGCAGGATACTGGAGCCCATGTGCACCAATGGTTTCGGATCCGGTTAAAGCATCGGACATTCGCTTTTCTTCCTCTCAATTTCGTAAACAACACCCCCGCCACGTGAAGGTAGTGAGTAGGACTTCCCTGGCAGAGGCTATGTACGCGTGGCCGTGTGGGAGCATTTCGAGGAGGGTGGGCCCATCTCACTCTCGGCCATACCAGGGCATTTGGGGGTAATGAATACTATAAATGAGGTCTATTATATACATATTTTAATAGGCTTGGTACAATTCTCTAAGGTCAATTGTTCTAGATATGGTGTAATTGTAAATGTATTTTAAAGAAAACAGAGAACACTTAGAAGGAACCAGATATGACCTATCAATGGAAAGTATACTCTCAGAGTCTGTTTTGTAAGATCATTATACAAATTGTACTCATTAATGAAAGTTTGCGCAGCATACATTATTTTCATTTCTTGTAATAAATGAAGGAAACGTCAGTTTTATTTAAAATAGCTACTTTACGTACGTACGAAGGTTTATGTTGTTGACTGACTGACTGATTCACTAACTGACTTTACTCATAAACTCATAGGATTATCCATAATATATAGATACAACATTAAATGAGATATATTACTATAAAACTGACAAAATGGAAATGAAAATTTATCAGTAAAAGGAAACTTGAGCTAACATGTTAGTTAGTTATTTATTAAGCTTATATGTTAGGCTTTTCACTGTATTGTGCGTTACTTATATCAACATAAGTAGTATATAACGCTAGTAAGGAATAGAATGTCTGGTAGAAGATCGAAGTGGAAAGAACGTGAATAGAAAGCAATTGGTATGGAAATGCAGAAACTATGAGTCCGAGACGATTGATCGATCTTTGATTATTACAATATCTATTATTTACACATAACCTGTGTTACATCTGAACGAAGAATAAATGAATAGCAACTGCTAGGAATTATTTATGGGCTTTCATTACATATATTCTTATTGGATAATTATTATTTAAATCATAAGCTTTCATTTGACCTATTAACTAATGTTATACGATTTACGATTCTTAATATATTCCCAGTTTATTAGTTACAGTCTATCACACAGACACTTTTGTTTTGACCTTGTGAAATACCTGACGTCAGAAGGTTAAGAAGATCGAAGGAAAGAGAACAAGAACAGAGAATAAGTGGTGTAAAAACTTGTACAAATATGTATATTCTATTTGATGGTACGATGTGGTCTGTTTGGTTGGTATATGTAAGTCCAGTATGTTTGAAATAAATAATCCATATCGCAAAGGCTGAGATTGATGTTCTGAACTTTAACAGGCAGAGCTAGTCAGCAAGTGAGCCCGTTAAGAACTCTAGACTACTCCGCATGGGTTTTTTGCGTCACTGGTCCAGTTGATAAATCATTATTCTCTAATTGGCGATATCATTACGTTATATATTGATAGGGTCACAAATCCACAAGTTATAACGAAATCCAAATTTCTGAAGGATGAATAAACATTATTACATTTTGTGTCATCATGAATCTATATACTAACTAGTCCACAATCTCTAAACCAACATGGTTGTTTGAAAATAATACCTTAAACACATTTAAACAACAGAATGACATTTACAACTGTCAAATATTCAAGAATTCAATATATATTTTTTAATTGAATACACTTACTACACATGCAGTTCGATGAGGACATAATTTACCAAAACCTAATGGAGGTGATATTTTACGAAGGAGTGTAACTACATCAAGATGTTTAATTCTTCCTCTAAAATGAATCAAATCAAATGTATGCTCATGAATAAATTTATATATAGTATTATAGATTGTAATAGACAATAAAAAATAACATTAAATGGTAGGCAGTTTACAAACTGAATGTATTGACCATAAGGTAATAAAAAGTCTTAATCGGATATTACTGGTTAGCGTTTTTTAGCGAGTTAGTTTTCTACGGGATGGGGTCGCTAACCCCATGCCCAACCCTCCTCCTTTATCCAGGCTTGAGACCGGCAGTAGCCGCCGGAGGGACTCCAGTCGGAGTTTTAATCGGATATTATAACATATTGAATTCATTTTTGTATTCGTTGGTTAAATCTTCCCATTAATGTTTAAGACTACAATTGATCAATCTCTTATTGGTATATACATGCATCCTGTGCGAATTGTCTCGATATTACCTTCAATGAAATAGGATGAGACGCGTGTGCTGGATTCCACTGTTGCCACAGTTGCATTAATTGTTTCTGATGCTAAGGCACAACGCACATTTGATCAACGCTCATCATTATATAATTATTACTTATAAAGCGTTAACTTCAGTCGCATTTATATGAAAAGATTGTACGAAAGTTGGGGTTGTATGTATTTTGAACATATATAAGTTCAGAGCATTTTCCATCGTGATCAAACATGGGACGCTAAATACGTTTTAGTAAAAAAAAGGTTAATTAAGTTTACGTATATGGAACGTAACAGGGCCTAACGTTTTATGATCAGAATGGGGTTTGTGGAGACTGTAATAATTTTAATAGTTGAATTCATAAGTCGATGTAAGCTAGACCACCATTGAAAACTTGGAAGCGCTGGACGACCGTTTCATCCTAGTATGGGACTCTTGAGCAGTGCGAATCCACGATCCTGCGCCAAAGCGAATCAAACCTAGCACTTCCGGTCTCGTGCGTGAACTCTTAACGTTTAGACTACTGAACATCCAAAAATGTTAATGTCTAACTTCAGTTGATTACGTATGCGGGGTCGTGAATGCGCACTGCCGAGGAGTTCCATACTAGGATGAAAAGGCCGTCCAATGCTTCTACACTTTTTAAACGCTAATAATCTCTTTGAAATAAACAACACATTAACATTTAAACATTCTTAAGGGTCCTTAGATCCGCAAAACCAAACTCATAAAACATATTTGGTTCATGAATCCATGAATATATTTAACGCCTGTTTAGTTCGCTTTGACTCAATAATATCCAAGTCCAATTTGTCATCATATGACTATGGAAGCAAATGTTCTAGCATCCTTATTGATTGAAATGATAGCTTTTTAACAACTACAGGATAATTTTTTTTGCTATTTGTAAGTTAGCGCTAAGAATCATTCAGATACGTCCAGCTCTGAGACACCAGATCAAAATGTGGATCAACCCGGTTAATATTACTGAACTTAGGTCTTTAAAGATTTATGAGATCTGTACTATGAACAGTAATATTTTCCGTTGATTCAGGTTGGTTATAATCTTTTCAAATACAATATTCAGATAATGACAAACTAAATGTTAATAATAAACAACCAAGATCGAGGTTGAAAGGACAAACAGTGAGTTATATATACCCGAAATGTGTCCTGATGATGTTGTTGTTCAGAAGCACAAAAAAAGCTCCATGATTAAATCAATTAGCTTAGAGAACGAAACTCCATCAAAATCATCCACCTGAGAGCTTATGGCGAACTGTCATCAGAATTGATTACCTCAGATAATGTTCGTCAGGGCTACCAACTCTCTCCATTCTTGTTTAAATTACTCGTTGAAATGCTTCTAGAGATGACACTATCATCATCTAAATTTCCAGGAGTTGAACTTTCGCCAGGAGATTCACTTGTTGACTTGGAATATGCCGATGACATAGTTCTATTTGGTGAAGTTGCTGACAAAATGAATAGTCTTCTGACCACTGTAAGCGACAATGCAAGCATGTTCGGGATGCGATTCTCTCCCTCGAAATGTAAAATGTTGCTTCAGGATTGGGTTGCATCGACACCCGAGACAATGATAGGGAGTGAAGTAGTTGAGCGTGTCGACCGCTTCACTTATCTTGGAAGTCTCATCAGCCCTTGTGGTCTGGTGTGTGACGAAATCTCAGCACGGATACAGAAGGCCCTATTAGCTTTTGCCAACTTGCGTCATTTATGGCGTAGGTGAGATATCCGTCTACCAACGAAAGGACGTGTTTACTACACAGCAGTTCGTTCTGTCCTACTTTATGGCTGTGAAACATGGCCAATAAGAGTTGAGAATATTCTTAGGTTACTAGTATTCGATCAAAGGTGTCTTCGAAGCATTGCTTGTCTATCCTGGGACTACCGAGTAAGTAATGCGATTGTTAGAGAACGAGTACTAGGTAAGAATGGAAAATCATTTGGTCAAGTAGTGAAACTTCATCAGTTGAGATGGCTGGGACACGTGTTACATATGCCCAACTGCCGACTGCTCCGATGCGCGAATCAATTTGTATTATAATAACAGTAAATATATCATAAATATGTATAGCTTACTTTGCCTCAGGATCATATTCTGACCATAAACGTATAAATTCATCTAAATGATGTGGACCTAATATTGACCAATCTCGTGTTAAATAATCAAAATTATCCATTATAACAGCAACAAATAAATTGATAATCTAAAATAATCAATTATAACAATGATAATAATCATCATTAGAAAAACATGTAACAGTATTTGAAAAAATGTAATTAGCATATAGAGTAGGATGAATAACAAAGTAGGTGGCTATAAAAACGATGTTATAGTAGTTTGGAACTTTCATAACCTACAAACATTTAAATTCACTTGATGTTGGTTTACTTGTATCTTCCCATTACTATTTAGGACTGCAAATGATCAGTCTCTTGTTGGCGTATACGTGTATCCTGTGCAGATTGCCTCGATATAGCCTTAACTTATCAGCTTTTTAAGTAAAGATGGATAGTGACTAGCAATGGAATCCAGAATGACGCGCGTTTCGTCCTATTTGGGACTCATCAACTGAAGTCCTAAATAACAATGGGAAGATACAAGTAAACAACATCAGGTGAATTTAAGACTTCACGCTATTGCACGAGCAGGTGGCTATCACGACTCAGTAGCTAAGTGGATAACGTAATGATGTTTGAAGCGAACGGTACTGAGTTCGAGTCCCGCAATGAACGTCACCTTTGAGATGCAGGTACATCAAGGTGACGAATCCCGAATAAGACGAAACGCGCGTCAAACTGGATTCCACTGACATTTGACCTAATCAAATCTAGAACATCCCACTCTCAAGAAGTAGTATATTTCTGTCGGGTTTAAAAAAATAAAATGTCATTTTTTTCACTGATTAAAATCATGAGTCAATTGAAGCTAGACCACCATGGAAAACCTGGAAGTACTGGACGGACGTTTCGTCCTAGTATGGGACTCCTCAGCAGTGCGCATTCACGATCCCGCCCCTCGCAAGATTCGAACCCAAGACCTATCGGTTTCGCGCCAGGAGCTTAACCAACTAGACCACCGAGCTGGCCGTCATCCAACGGTGTTAATGTTTAACTTCAACCAATCCACAAAGTTGCGGCTGTCCAGTGCTTCCAGGTTTTCCATGGTGGTCTAGCTTCAATTGACTCATGATTTCAACCAGTGAAATTTCTAAAAATCTCTACAAAACCCATTCTGGTCATTTTTTTGTTCATTCGAGATTTATTACCTTTCCAACGTTGAAGAACTAGTCAATAGAACATTTTCATCATAATAGGACAATTCAAAATAACATAAACTATAAATACTTCTTAAAGTTAGACCGATAGTTTCAGGTGTCCTTATCCAAAAATGATCCTTGGATCATTGAATCTGGGATCTAAATCATTTATATCTACAAATTAATTGATTCTTCAATTCAATACAATTAGAACTGAATAGTTTACTTTAACTATTAGTTTAAGCATATGAAATACATAGAAAAGGAACTTACAAGAAATGAACAAACCATATAGAAAGAAATAAAATATGGATAAGCAAAATTTGATCCACATGTTGCACGTGGTCCATTATATCCTAATTCATCTAATTTCTTCCAACTAATAGTTCTTTCATCAAACTCTTCAATAGATGAATGAATAAGTTGATTATGAATTGGTTTTAATGATGAAGATAATGATAATTGTGTTGAAATGATAGGAAATGTTTCATTTTTATCATTTATTTCTCTACTTTGTCTATATCTACTTATTAAATCTGATGAATAAACAATATCATCTGGAGGATGTATATTTTCAACCGATGAAAACGAAGAAGAAGGAGAAGAAGACCGGTCCTTTTCTATTGTAGGATTATTTAATCCAAGTATTGTGGAAGGATGTGAATAAGTAAATAAGGAATTCTGATTATTATCCATTAATCCATTATTCAATGCATCCCAAATAGAATGATTATCTCGTTCATGATTATAAAATGACACTGATGGTTGATTATATTCTGTTGAATCATCAATAGATGTTACAAAAGGTGTCGAAACTTTTGTTGAATTATTACCATTTTGTTTTATCAGAATATATTGTGTTGATGTAGTATTCATTAAAATAATATGTTGTTGTTCATCTAAAAAACTTCGTATAGCTTTCATTTCAGTATCTGAATATCGATCACATTTGACAGTGTGATCTAAAATAAAAGAGAATTAATAAACAAAGCAATAGGGTACAACCGAGTCAGTTGTGAAATAGTTACTTACTGATGAAAATGCAGAATGTGTCGCTCAATTTTGTGGATTAGTTGAAGTTAGACATTAACACCGTTGGATGCCGTTTGGTTCTGTGGTCTGGAGGTTAAGTGTTCGCGCGCGAGACCGATAGGTCATCGGTTCGAATCCCGTGAGATGGGGTCGTGGATGCGCACCGCTGAAGAGTCCCACAATAGGAAGAAACGGCCATCCAGTGCTTGCAAGTTTTCCATGGTGGTCTAGCTTCAATTGACTCATGATCTCAACAATTGAAATATCATATAGTCTAGACACTAATTAATAGAATATAATTTCAAGTTTTGAAATTAGGTTAATGTTCAACGATATGTGACTTTTAGAACCTGTTGTTCAGTTTTTTTAAGTTTTTGTAGACCCAAGTATTTCCAAATGTCATGACTACAAACTGAAATCTACGGAATGTTATTTATATTAAATAGATCTAAGAATAACAATGCCATACAATGAAACAGAACTGGTGAAATTTGTTATAGAGTTGAAGTTATTCATAGTTAAATTAATTAGTGATGAAATACGCCTTCGAACTTCAATATTATCATACTAATTCATCATATCAGTTTGGATGTAATGATTATGGTGAACGGGGCATAATTCTAGTAGGTGGAGAATAACATTTTTTTGACAACAGAAACCTGAAAGTATACGATAAAATGTTTTTCATACAATGGAACAACCATGAGAAGAATGTCGCATGTTTTAGTGACGCATACTTCTCGATAACTCAATGATGAGAAGATTATTTATAAGTAATCTAGAAATAAAATGAAATCCCTATATTCCTCAGTACGTCAGTAACAGCGTAGAACGCCGTACATACGTACATCAGTTCAAGTTGCCATACCACATGAGAACAGAGATACAATTGTCGACTTAAATCCCATAGTGGTAGACGTAGTAAAGGTAAAAGAAGTAATCAGAAACATTAGGGTTTGAAGATGTTATTCAAGGAGTATAATCCAGTGAAATAAATTTGGAAAGAAAGAAAATAAGGGGATAAGAAGAGTTCAAAAGATTAAAATTTGGGAGAACACAAAGTCTGGATGCACCTGCGCTACTGCAAACGATTTTGAGTCGTCATATTCAAGGTCATTAACCATCGGCTATATTCCTAAATTATAACAGAAAGAAGAACATCATGAACGATTTACAAGCTAAATATCAGTTCCATAATTAAATTTTCAACTCTTCTGATCGTGAATCCTCAATAATGTTGTAGTGACCTACTTTTATCAAGAGGACGCGATTGGTTTAATGAAAACAATTATTATTATAGCCGATTGTATCAGTGATTGTTTTACTGTATTTGTTTGTTTAACTGTACTAAAGACATTCATTATTCTTCCATTCTTCCTTCCATTGATTGTTACCTTGCACGAACTCACGTTTTCTCAGTAAATCCGCTTGTACTGCTTTGGTACGATCTCGGTATTCTTTCGATACCACGAGATCACCAACAAATATACTTAGCTACAACCTTCAATTGCCTTCTGATAATTGGTACGCAACTTTCCTGTGGTGGTGATCATAGTCAATTGCGACTCGACCTTACGCTACAATGTCAACAGATTGTTTTCAATGAACTTACCATTAACACAACTTAACATTATTTCTTGCCAAGCTTCACCAGTTGCAGAACGAAATAACACTAACAATGATTGAGGAAATGTTTGAAAATTATTATTACGATTTATTGAACTATCTGGATTGATTAATGCAATTTTACCAAACATTTGCATTCCAATTACAGCGTATATAAAAAATAACATGATGATCAGTAGAGCAACATAAGGTAATGCCTATAAATGAGTTATAGAAAAATAGTGTAAAAACATTTTATACGTCTTTGTATTCAATCAAGCAATAACCATAAAATCAATATATCTCTCAATAGTAAGCAGTTATCATCAAAGTATTATCTAATACTTTAAAACAAAATTCTATGGTGGCTGGTAATGAAATCCAGGACTAGTGTTTCATTCTACTTGAGATTCGTCAGATGAATGTGCCTGCATTCCAGTGGTGATATTTACACCAACATAACAGCTAGAGGTTTTTGTTTCAGCTAGTCAATGCGTTATTCAATTAGTGACTGAGTCTAATTGTCAAAATGTGTCCCCGAGTTCACTGCTAATCACCATCAACTTTACCTAAAAGTCCTTGTAACTCAATGACGATATCGAAACAAATTCTCAGAATGCAAACATCTCGAAGGAGACTGATCACTGACGATCTTTAACGTCAACAATATGATGCTTTTAACACTTACAAGTTAATTAAAGTAATCGATGGTTTTTAATAAGCAAATATGGAATGTAGCTATTAGTGTAATCCTAACAGGACGAAATGCGCGTCCTAGATCTACTTATAATACAATGCACCACATAGAACTAGTAGGATATTTAGAAATCAATTCTAGTAACGTTTACAATACGTCTGGTTGAGGAAAAACTGACATCATGATAGACTTGAGTTTCACTGTCAGTCAGCGAAGTATTGTAATGGCTGGTACCATTTCAAGTCTACATAGGTTATTCTAGCTTCTATACAGACCAAATTATTCATTCTTCTCAAGCCACATTTTGATCTTGTTACTTATTCTTTTATTAACCCTGATTGAGTTTTATATGATCGTATAAGTGTTAATTGCTTGTCTTATTTATTACGTATTTCTAACTATTTTTCGTCTAAATATAAATATTGAGTCACTGTTGATCGCAAACAAGTTGGCTCGCTCACTCTCTCTCTCTTCGTTAAGCGTCAGTTCATTTGGTTTCGTCATGCTTATCTTTCTTCACTTCGTTTCACTGATTGTATGTCCTGATCAAAGAGTGCACAAAATATACAAATTCAAAATGCATTCTTGTATTTGGCTTATTTCATTCCGTTATTGTAAAACACGAATTAAGTCGACAGAAATATACGACGGTTTCTGGCATATATATATATCAATAAGCAATACGAACTGGAGTCAGATATAGGGCAACTCAAGTCAGGCTTTTTTCATCTGAAAATAGCTTATTTAAAGCCCAAATTGTTGACAAAAATATCGTGGATGTGCACTCTTGAGAAGTTCCACAGTAGGAAGAAACGGCCGTCCAGTGCTTTCAAGGTTTTCCTTGGTAGTCTAGCTTCAATTGACTCATGATTCCAACTATTGAAATCATTATAATATCCACAAAAACACCTGATATTAATCGGCATATGCTCATTAGTGACAGTCTCCAAGAGGTATTTCCTAGAGTTCTAGTGAGAAGCAGTGACTAGTGGAGTTCAATCGGGTCTGTTATGAGATAGTAACTCATTGAAGACAATAGCGAATATATCGCTCAATTTCGAGGGTTAGTTGAAGTTAGAGATTACCACAATAGGATGTCAACTCAGTGGTCTAGAGATTAGGCGTCCGCGCGTGAGACAGATAGGTCCTAGGTTCGACTCTCGTGAGACGGGATCGTGGATGTTTACTTCTGAGGAGTGCCACATCAGGACGAAACGACTGTTCAATGCTTCAAGGTTTCGCATGATGGTCTAGTTTCAATTGACTGATGATCTGAACTATTTAAAAAAATGTATTATAATAATTATTACTGAAAAATAAACACGATATATACCTGAAATGATTTAACAAATGTCCATAGAAGTGTTCGTATACCTTCACCACGATTTAATAATTTAACCAATCGCATTACACGGAATAAACGAAAAAAGTTTATACTAATGAATTTTGAATTTGCCTTTTACAAAAACAAAACAAAACAAGAAATAAATGTAAACTATATTAGATGATGAAAGAATACAATTTATAATGTTTACCATGGCAACAATATGACAGCAAAAGTACTGTGATAATTGAGATGGATAAAATTAAAATATAATTGAACTTTTCATTCGTTCAAATATTTTATCTTCATCTTGGTTACATAAATCTAGGGACATCAGTTTAATTCACTCAAAATTGTAAATCTGTTTTAAGATATTGAGAGATTTTGAAACTGTATTTTGTCTTAGTTTACAGATGTCGGCTAGCCTTACCTTTATTCTTGACAAAATCGATATTTCTGATGAGATTACAACCTATCTTACCTGATTTTACAGTATGAGACATTTTGCCGGTTACAGTTCAAATTGTTCCGGGGCTTATAAAATGTGATTTGTTATTGTGGAAAAAACTAATCTATCAGCAGAATAGAATAATTGGCGAAGAGAAGTTTCAGGAAAAGCGGATGTGTATAAGATTTAAATTTAATAATCTGTATCTTGAATGCTCAGAATCACTCATAGTGTTAACGACCATAGGATTGGTTAGTTCATTCTTAAATCTTCCAGTCACATTATGAATTTTACTCAATCACATTACTATAAGAGTCTATTCAGAGACTCATATTGCTCTATCAATGGAAGGAAAACTTCATGACAAAGTATTTCAATCCTATGTTATTATACTATAATGTTTGTTACAACTTGAAAAATAATCTTTCTAGCCGTTTTAACTCAATATGAAATATAAAAACAAGATATCTAATAAACCACTAGTTGAAATCATGAGTCAATCGAAGCTAGACCACCATGGAAAACCTGGAAGCACTAGACGGTAGTTTCTTTTCATTGCGGGTCTCCTCAGCACTGCGCGTCCACGATCCTATCCTCTAAGAGATTCGAACCCATGACCTATCAGTCTCGCGCGTGAGCACGTAACCATTAGACCACCAAGCCGGAATTTAACGGTGTTAATGTCTAACTTCAACTTATCCACGAAATTGAACGGCACAACCACCATTGTCTTCACTACGCTGCCATCTCATAAAAGACCTAGTTGAACTCCATTGGTCACTGCTTCTCATTAGAACTCCAGGAAATACCACTTGGAACCAGTCACTAGTGAGCATATATATTGATTTATATCAGAAGGGGTGTTTCTGTGGATATTATAGTATTATTAAACATTTCAAGATCCAAACAAAAAAACTTACAGCAAGATGTGACATATTAATATCAACGAAACTACCAACAACAATGATGAAATCGAATACATTCCATGGATCACTAAAATAATTCTAGATAAGGTGATGAAAACAAAACAAAAAGCAGATTATTTATTGATTTTTAATAACATGTAAAACGTCCATATCCATGACAGGTTAAATTAATGAACAGGGTGATTTAACAAAAATATAAATGATCTATTATTGTGATGTATGCTACTTATATTTGAAGGTATTTGAAGATAAAACACCAGTCGGAAGTGGAATGTTTGCGAACAAAAGGTTGATAAGAGGAGAGAGGAAGGAAAACATAGGTTATCAAGATAACAACAGAAATCAAGGAACAATGAAGCTTGTAAGAGACGATTCCAAGATGATGTGTATATCATGTATTTGATGTATAATTTTCACTTTTTGCTAAACCTTTGAGTGATCGTTCAATAAAAAGTAAAATTGTCTTCTCCCAACTAAGTTCTCCTTCATTATAGTAAGATGAGGCTTATTTTGATATGTTGTATAGCATGGTTTATCTAATGGAAAACTAACATATAAATATAATTGTATGGTTGTGGAGATTGTTAAGTTTTTGATTGAGATCATGAATCGATAGATTTTTGACCACAGTTGAAAACCTAGAAATACAGGACCACCGTTTCGTTCTAACATGGGATCCCTGATGAGTGCAAATCCACGATCACGCTTACGGGATTCGAACCGAAAACCTTCAGTCTCGCGCGCGTGAACGCTTAACCTACTGGACCACTGAGCCGGCATCTAACGGTGTTAGTGTCCAAGTTCAACCAATCCACGATACCGTGCGACCATCTTCCACTGTCTGAGGTAGATACCTGTCTCTACCTAATACGGATTAGCTACACTGGATGTCACCTCAGTGATTTAAATATTAAGAGTTCATGCTCGAGACTGAATGCCCTAGCTTCAAATCGCGCATGTGAGATCGTGTATGTGCACTGCTCAGGAGTTACATACTAGGAAGAAACGGTTATCCAGTATTTCAAGGTTTTCTATAGCGATCTAACATTGATCGATTCATGATCTCAATCGGTAACATATATTTCTATAACAGGAATTATAATTGATTGTCTGAAACTATAAAGAACATAAATTATTAATGCAGTGTAATTATTAGGGTTAGTAATTGTTTTATTACAGATGGAAAACTAAACAATCGTATTATATCAAGTACTAATTATGGAATAGAATATTTAGAACTAATGAAGAGCTGAAGAAGAAGAAGAAGAAGAAGAAGAAGAATAGATACAATCAGATTATTTGATTTGAAATGAAAATCACACTACAGATTTATAGTTTATTCTAACAAAATCAGTAATAAAAATAGTGCGTTTATTACTTCTACTCATAGGAGTATTGAAAAATCAATAAATGAAAATGTAACTATATTTTTGTGCCAACTTCAAAACAACTGATTAACAACCTACTGAAAAAACCCTTAGTAACTTAGTATCCTGTAACTACTTGGAAATCAAGGATTAATGGTCGTCTTATGTTCTAGTTGAATCACTTCAATAAGATATACTCATTCCAATATATATATTTTTTTAATATACAAAGCATTAGAGCAACGTTAAAAGATGTAGCCCCTTGATAGCCAGTCATGAACAACGGGTTCATATGCCGTTTGTACCCTCAGGATCCTGGAGCCTATGTGCACTGTTGGTTTGGAATCAAGGTTTTCCAACTCCTGTAGATGGATCCTCCATATCCACCAACCCGATTAAAGCGCCGGACATTCGCATCATGTTTAGAAGAATGAAAGTTTTTATCAGGATGGGGACTGTGGAGATTATTACGTTTTTGATTGAGATCATGAACCGATTGTTGTTAGACCACTACCTTTGGAAACCTGGAAGCACTGGACGGCCGTTTCGTCCTATTGTGGGACTCCTCAGCAGTGCGCATCCACAATCCCGCTCGCCGGATTCGAACCCAGGGCACTCGGTCTGGCGCGCGAACGCTTAACCAACTGGACCACTGAGTCGACATCCAATGGTGATAGTGTCTAACATCAACCAATCCACGAAATTGCGCGACCAACTTCCATTGTACTGAGGTAGATACCTGTCTCTACCCGACATGGATTAGCTCCACTGATCACGGCTTCTCACTAGAACTCCGAGAATTCCTTCACGAAGTTTGTCACTAGTGAGCACATGTTGATTATCAGTATGGGGGTTGTGGAAATTATTACGTTTTTGATTGAGATCATGAACCGTCCAGTGCTTCCAGGTTTCCAAAATTGGTGGTCTAACATCAATCTGTTCATGATCTCAATCAAAAATGAAATTTTTATCAACGTAAAATAGGCGATTAGAATTTCTATGAATACACAATCACATCAGTCATTTATATTCATAATATAAATGTTGAAAACAATAAAAGACAAGAATGTATTTCGTGAATCATACGACTATAGAAATCAATGTATCACATAATAATGCATCAATGTAAACAAAATGATACTATAGTATTCAATTAAGAAGAAAATGGACCCAGGAAAATTAGTCATCCTGTAGTTGTGGTGATGGGATTCAGTATTTAGTGAAGGAAATTAAAAAAAAATACAAACTTTTATTATGACTAACCTTGAAACCAAAAGCTGTTAACTTCAGCACAAACTCCACAGTAAATACACCAGTAAATATCATATTTAAATAGTCTAATGCATCTGCATAAGCATTTGGTTGTCCTTCAACCTATTGTATGATTGAAATAAAACAACTCTCAATCGGAATATTTACACAAAGAACAAAAAGCTACAAATCGCAACAGTCATACTGAGTTATTTGTTTGGGCTTCATTTTCAGAATGTAAAATTCCTATTGAGTATAGCATAATAAATGTATCTAATATCCCTTGGACTAGTATCAATGTGATACATAACATATTTATTTAGTGGAATCCAGGACTCACGTTTTGCAACAATAAATATAAATTTCAATAGTTGAGATCATGAGTCAACTGAAGCTAGACCACAATGGAAAACCTGGAAGCACTGGACGGTGAAACTCCTCAGCACTGGTCATACATGACCAGTGCTTCTAGGTTTTCCATGATGGTGGTCTAGCTTCAATTGACCCGGATCTTAGAGTTGATGTTCACTCTAAGAGTCGAACTCAGTACCGTTCGCTTTAAACACTATCACGTTATCCATTTAACTACTGAGTCCTGATAGACACTTGTTTGTGCAATGAGGTGAAGTTTAAATTTACTTGGTATTGTTTACATCAATCATCCCATTGATAATTCGGATTACAATTGATCAGTTTCTTATTGACATATATATGCAAGTTGTGCTTAAAATGCTTATGAATTAAGTCAATATCAAGACAATATGCACAGGATGCACATAAACTAATAAATGACTGATCAATTGCAGTTCTAAACATCAATAGAAAAATTCAATCAAACAATACCAAGTGAATCCAATGGATAATTTTGTTAACAATTCGATCTTTGTCTCCAAACAACCAACTTTAATTAATAGGGTGACAAACATATATACATTATTATCATTAGAATTTTATACTATTTGTTGCTATATAGAATTAGTAGTCGTTCAAATTTGATCTGCTCACTTTTTTTTCTTATTATTATGTAACCATTATATCTATGAACATTTGAAACTGAATGAAACGAATTGATCAATAATGTGAATAATAAAATGAATTATAGATTAGTTGAAGTTTAACATTAACATCGTTGGATGTCGGCCAGATCGGTGGTCTAGTTGGTTAAGCGCCTAATGTAAGTCTGACAGGTCCTGGACTCGAATCCCGCGAGGTGGGATTGTGAATGCGCACTGGTGAGAAGTCCCATAATAAGACGAGACGGCCGTCAAGTGCTTCTAGGTTTTCCATGGTAGTGGTCTAGCTTCAATTGACTCATGATCTCAACTGTTGGAATCATGAACAATTTATAAGTACACGTAACTAATAAAACAACTATAAGTAATCTATCATCTAATTCAAATAACTATTCGATTTCTTTTAACAAAAACAAAACATGACCCAGTTTTGTTTGATAGAATAAAAATGAATAAATTACAAAAGAAATCGATTTCACTGTTCAAAGAGTACAACAACTGAAAGTTTACATTATGTTTTATAAAAGTTTTATAAAGTTTAAATTCACTTCTTAGGATTGTTTTATTTGTATGTTCCAAATGTTATTTAGAACTGAAGTTGATCAGTCTTGTGTTGGTTTATGTGTATCCTGTACGGACTGTCTTGATATTGCCTTAGATCACGAGATTTATAAATGCATAACGCGATGGCGCTTGAAACGAAAGGTACTGAGTTCACATCTAAGAGTGAACATCAAATCTGAGATACAGGTACATCCAGCTAACGATGTACCTGCATTTCAATGATGATATTTACATCATGAATAACAGCCAGAGCTTTGCGTTTCAGCTAGTCAATGCGTTATTCAATTAGTTATTGAATCTAATTATCAAAATATGTCCCGGAGTTCACTGTTAATCACTATCAACTTTACCGAAAAATCATTATGACTCAATGACAATATCAAGACAATCTCCTTAAGGTTCAAGTATCTCGAAGGAGATTGATCATTGATGATCTTCAACATCAACAATATGATGCTTTTAACACTTACAAGTTAATTAAAGTAATCAATGATTTTTAATAAGCAAAGATGGAATGTGGCTAGTAGTGTAATCTAAACAGGACAAAATTCGCGTCCTGGATTCCACTATCCATCTTTAACTTGTAAAGTTTAATTTATACATTCATAACACTTGTTAACCACTAATGATAACCTTAACATATAATGACTAATGACTAACAATGATGGTAATTGAAAAATTTAAAACATCGAATAACCATTATTTAGTGATGAATAAATGGCGTATAAATAAGAAGTGTCTAAAGTAACACAATTTTTTTTTGTTGAAAAATTGAACTCTGTCTTTCTTTGTATTGAGTTTTTTCGGTTCTTTGTAATTACCTAGTTTTTTTTTATGTGTGGGCATTTCATATTGTTTTTAGTAGAGTTTTGTTCTTTGAGCTAGATGGTTTGATTGTAGAGGTTTCATCGTTCTATTGAACGATATCATCAGCATAAATAAATATTATATACTTTACTTAATGTATTATCTTCAAACGATAACAATCATAGAAAATAGGTATGCAGTCAATAATAATAAACAATTTAATAATGACGTGATGGTCGGGCTGGCCTATTGTGATGAAGCAACCGAGCTATACTGGCTAAAACAATCATTCCTCGAGGTCCTACTATGCCACACAGGTCGATTGAACAGCGATAAGACTAAACGCAACAAACTCAAGGTCTGAAAGCGAAGTCGTACTAATGATTGTACTGAGGTGTGATGGCAGTAAGGTGTTTCCTTCAGACAATCAGCATAACAGCAATGCTGCCTTCCCACAAGGAGGGTGGCGTTACAAAAAAGATCGACCCTAAAAATGCACACCTCGCTTTATCTCACGGATATCCGTCTCCGGTGGTAAGGTAACACGAAAATTATTCACAAAAAGGTCGTGTATGACCGACCTCAAGCATTCTTTCAACTGACCATTCTACAAGTGATTCTGTTCACAATAAACTTTTTCGATTTTTTTTTCTGTTTTTAAAATATTTTATTTCAATGTATCTTACATAACCCTTTTAATGTAACAGATTAATATGGATAACTCATTATTATTATGAATAAATGAAAGAATATAAGTGATTTAACATAATCTATCTTGAATATCGTTTATTTCTTCAGATATTCTCAGCAACAACAACGACAACAACAACAAGAACAACAACAAAAATTAGTTTTTAATCTCTACATGTTTGAAATAATGGAACAATAAGCTTGTTGATCTAATGGTAAATTGTTTATACTGTATTGTATGATCAGAATTACATTTAATTAAATGGTATATAGCTATTAAGACATGAAATAAGAAAGATTGGTTCAGTGAAGAGTTCTCTTTTCAGCGGATTCATTTACAAAGATGTACAATCGCAAATATATATACGTATGTTTTGCTTTCTCAGGATGATAATAAACTTCTGCTCATATAGAGCTAAGTATATAGGTCATACCATGTGTACTTTATTCAAAAGAATTCAAGAACATTGTCCGACGTGGCTAAAAAGATGAGGAAACGGTTCAATGAGAAGTTCAATAATCGAACACTTTGTGAATACTAGTCACTCGATCAAGATAGACTCTACGTTCAAAGTCATCTACAGTGTAAGTAAAAGTCATTCAATGGTATTTATATTGCATCTTCTTAGCATTGCCAAAGCAACAGCTATACATATGGGGAAATCAGAATTGTGTGTCCAAAAGAGATTGGTACAACCTCTTATTCTATCATGAACTTAATGTCATTTAAATTTTTTTTCTCTATACTCTTCTTCCTTTATAGCCATCTGCTACCCCTTCCATCTACTCCTTTAATCTTTTACACCTCCAACTGATTGGTTTCTGTGTTTTTGTTTTTAATGATCTTTCTGATTACATTTTATCTTATCATGTTAAACTATCCTTTCTCAATGTCAATTTCCCTATCTATCTTTTGATAAATACTTAAGCCATTAACAATCAAACGATTATTGATGACCCTATTTATAAAAAACAACCTTTGTTTCTTCTATCTTACTGTCACCATGTATAATAGAAGTTTATTATCAGTATTATTATCATCCTGAGAGAACAAAACATCTTGTATATGTGTTTGTAAGTGTACAGGTTTGGAAATGAATTCATCGAAAACGAGAACACTTCACTGAACTAACCATTCTTATTCTTTTTATTTCTTTCAGTGAATAATGTAACCGCATATTATCTTTGTTATATGACATTTTTGTATTTTCTATGATGGTCTACGTCCAATTAACTCATGATTCCAATTATTAACATTACTATGATATCCATAGAAACACCGCTTCTGATATTAATCGACATATGCTTACTAGTGACTGATTCCAAGAGATATTTCCTCGAGTTATGTTGTGACATAGTAACTCATTGAAGACAATAGTGAATGTGTCGCTCAAATTCGTGGATTAGTTGAAGTTAGACATTAACACTGTTGGATGCCGGCCAGCTCAGTAGTCTAGAGGTTAAGCAATCGCACACGAGACTGATAGGTCCTGGGTTCGAATTTCGCGAGGAGAAATGTTAAATCACGAACTTATCCCAGCTAGTCAACCACCAAAAACCAGGATGCATTGAACACCTTTTTAATCTTAATATTGAGCTAATCCGTAGTATGCATCCACAATCTTCCTACAGAGAGTCTAATTCGCAACCTTTGATCTCGTGCGTGAATGCTAAACCTTTAGACCATTCAATAGTGTTCATTTTGAACTTTAAGCAATTGATAATATGACATAACCACCGCTCACCACGTAGAGTAAATAACTGTCTCACATTCAACACTACAAAATTCGGTTAATCATGTCTTCTCATTAACATTTCAAAAATTGCATCTAAATATGTCCTATAATAGGGTGAAATCGCCATCAAACAGTGATATCAAGTTTCCCATAGTGATTACTATAATATCCATCCACAAAAAGAACCCATTCTGAGTTTTTATATTTATTGATTATTCAATGAAGTAAATAAAATCACTTCTCCTCCTTTATATACACACATCTTATAATAGAAATTATTTTCTTCCGGGTTTTATAAATTCCGAATACACTT